GCCATGAAGAGGTTCATTTAAAGCCATGGTTTCCTGGTGGAGCTTAGGGCTTGGAGTTGGGTGCTAAAGCTTGCTAAGGTGGAGGGAAGAAGGGCTGTAATGGCCAATGGGAGTGAGCCAAGTCAGGGAAGTTCAATTTTGAGTTTTGGCCACTTGGGGCTCACTTGAGCTGGTTGTTTCCGGTGGCTGAGGACGTGGCTGGTCAGGGTTCAGTCACTTCTTGGCTTTGGGAGGTCAGAAAAGAGTTAATTATTATTTACTCCCAAGAGTAAGTGATGATGAAGAAGATATTTGAGTTTAGGCCAAATATGGGTTGAAATCCCTTAAATTAAGGGGCCATGGGTCCATATCTCATCTTGGCTGGTCTAGGTGGGTTTAGCCTGGTCCATAGGGTATATTTGGTGGTTGTGGGGTCATTAATTTAGAGGCTTAGACATGGTTAAGTCAATTTTTGTGCATGGGTTCAACTTGGTGCATGGGTTCAACTTTTGTGCATGGGTTCAACTTGGGTCCAAATGGCTAAAAGCTGGGTTTGGGTTAGGCTAGCCATGATTTTGAGCCCGATTAATTGATCAATATTTTGTAAATGATTGTCATGAAAATTTTTGGTGAAGGATCGAGTAATTTTAAGTTTAATTGGAAGCTCAATTTGAAGGATTTTGGGATTTTGGTCAATCTGGGCATGTTAGACTAGACTTGGGTCTAGGTTGGGCTAAGTCCAAATTGATGGTTAAAAATGGTCTATAGAAATGTCATGAAGAGTTTTCAACACAAATTGGGTGTAAATTTTGGGGTTAGGACATTCAATTTGGTGAAATTTAGAAACATAGCAAATTTGGGGCAAATTTGGGAATTTTGTTGACTTGGGTTAAAATTAAGTGAAATTGAGGCGTCAATAAGGCCAACTGAAAGTGAAATTTGATGTGTATGATTATTATGAAGAGTTTAGTATTCAAATTGGGGCAAATTTAGTAGGCTTCAATTAAGTGAGATTAAGTCATAGGGCCAAAATTGAGCTCAAAGCATGGGCGAATTAGGCTTAAATTTGGTCTGGATTAATCAAATGAAAGGTGAATTTGAGTTTAGAATTGAAATTGAGGGAAATTGGGTCTAAATTGATCGACATTTAGGATGAATTTGGGGAAACTAGGCCTTTAAAGGCAATTTGGGTGTTTTGGTCAAAATGGTCAAATTGGCTTCAATTGGAGGGTCCAAATTGGTTTTGGAGGAATTTGAAATGATTTTGGATGTTTTGGGAAATTTTGAGGTGCCAAGGGTATTTTAGTAATTTTGGCAAATTTTGGGGTATTTTGGTAATTTTGGAATTTTTGGGTAGTTTTGGGCAATTTGGGTATTTTGAAATAGTTTGAAATGATTTTTGGACAAATTTAGGTATTTTGGGTGATTTTGAGGATTTTTGGCCAAATTTGGGATTTTGGGGTGTTTAGGTAATTTGGGGGTAAAAAGATTAAATTGGAAACTTTGGTAGAATTGGGGTGCCAACCACCCTACATTAGCTATGGGCCAATGAAATCCCCATTTGGGTCCTCAATGTACTAGTCTTAGCTAAACCCTAGCCTAGGGCTAGTTGGTCTAGGGGACCATCTACACGAGTCTCAAAAAAGATCAAGGGATCAAAGTTAACAATTTAGGGTTTAGGGTTGTGAGTGGATATAGGTGACAGTGAGTGTACTGAGCAAGCTCCAGACCAACACCAAGGCTCAACCTTAAGGTCAAACAGTCTTATAGGGGCTCTCCTTGTGATTCTCCACACTAACCCCACCTACTAAGTGCTAGAGGTTATGACCAATATGTGGAACTTCAAGTTGAGCAAGGTTGAGCAAGGAATTTCTAATGGTGAGGGTTCCTTTTCTAGTTTTCTAAGAATAGTCAACAGGAAAGTCCTATGGCTAGACCTCAGAGGAAAGTCCTATGGAGTCCTATGGCTAGACCTCAGGCAACTAAAGAGGGAAAACTAAACCTCAACCAAAAGTGAGGTCAACAAAAACATATATTCCAAAAAGACTATGATTTCTACAATATGTGAGAATCACATTTGATTTCATGGGAGAGGATGTCATCCATGGATTTGAGTGAAAATAAATAGGGAAATATACTTTTTTGGATGCAGGATTGGAGATTTTAAGGTGACAGAGTAAAATCCCCAATTTTTTCTAGTTGATAGGAAACTGATGCAAGAATGCTAGCTCTCAGGTGAGGGAGTAGGAGTTTGGAGGTGCCAGTCGTTATCCCCCCAGCCTAACCACAGAATTAGGGACCAAACTCTAGATTAGCCAATATTTTTTATGCTCTCAAAAGAGGGTAAAGAGTAGGATTGCTCCTATTTGCGACAAAATAATTTATATATATTTTTTCATATGATTTTAATTTTTTCACAGTCCATATATCCATTGTATAAGGAAATGATGCTTTCTTAAATTTGAACTTTTTCTTAAATTTGAACTTTTTGTCTTTCTTAAATTTGAACTTTTTGTCACAAAAACTTTATTTAATTTTCGTAATTTTACTTTTAAAAGTTTAGTAATTAGTTTAATTAACTTTGTCTTTTTTACTGAATTTTATTTAACATTCACTCTTTTACTTTATATTCAAATTTAGCACTTCATTTTTGTAATTTAAAATTATATTTTTCATTATAATCTTAAAAATTTACTAAAATGAATTTCTAACTTCCCTGTGGGATCAGTATCTAGGACTCAATTAGAGTCATTTATTACTCGAGCATTATGTATACTAGCATCATTTTTAAGGGATTTGACAATTTAAATAATTTTTAAAAGATAAAACTATTTACATTAAAGTTATTTTGGTTGGGATTAATTTACATATTTTCTATTGTATCTGTCGTGTGTATTTTGTAATGTTGAAAAATATTTACAAAATTAACACACTAAATCCACCTGCATCAATTTTTTGGCACGTTTGCCGGAGAAGTAATGAAAAGTAGTAGTAAGTTATTTTATAACTTGAATTATTTTTATTTTAAACTAAAAAAAAGAGTGTTTGCAGTTTAGTTTGAATATTTTCATAGTTTAGAGTGTTTGCTTATTTTAATTATTTATTGTGTTTATTTTTGCGTAGTGTAAGATCTGAAAATTTACTGCCTTACGATTCTGAGTTAGAAAGAACTATTAGAAAAATTTGAAAATAACAAAAAGTAATATATCATATTAGCAAAATGGCATGTAATTTGAGTAATGTTGAAAATGAAAATGAGCATCATTAGAGACCTTTAAGAGATTATGCTAATCCTACATTAGATGAAATTCATTTGAGTATACAAAATCATGCTGTAACTGCCAATTCATTTGAGCTTAAACATGTAATTATCCAAACGGTGCATAACAATCAGTTTGGGTAACACCAATTGAAGTCCCTAATTTACACCTAGCTAATTTTCTAGAATTGTGTGCTACTTTTAAATATGATGGAGTGTAGAATGATGTCGTCAGACTTAAACTTTTTCCTCTTTCACTAAGTAATAAAACTAAGATGTGGTTAAACTCGTTAGCACCTGAATCCATCAAAACTTGGGAAGACTTATCATAAAAGTTTTTATCGAAATATTACCTTCACAAACTACAAAGCATAGAAACAATATTACATCTTTTTGTCAGTTTGAAGGAGAATCAATTTATGAAGTCTGGGAAAGATTTAAAGATCTCCTTAGGAAGTGTCCACACCATGCGTTGCAGATTGGTTAATAATTCAAACTTTTTTTAATGGATTGGTTGGATCTCTTAGATCGATAATTGATTTGGGTGGTGAGTCAATGTCCATGATCAATCAACTATTTGGAGGAGCAACAGATCACCGCTGAAAAAGTTGAATGTTTGGATGTTTGGATGCACCGATTCCTATGTGAATTCCATTGAGCTGCATCTCTTTGTTATGATTTCCCTTCATCAGGTGTTCTGCTTGATCTATTTTATGTCCACACTCATTGCACCAGCTTTCAGGATGTCGAATCCTAAAATATCTTTCCGTGTCATACCCTGAGAGTTAGAGCTAAGAGAAGTAAGAGAGAAAAAATAAAGTCCAACGATAGAGAATATTTTGCTTCATTTTTGTCCCGACCACCTACTTATAGGTGTCTAAAAATACATATATAGAAAAAAGAGGGAATAGTTGTCGATGAGTCGCTCGAATAAAAATTATATTATAATACAAAGGAAATATAATATTCGTCGATCATCAGATGCTTAGGTTTCGATCAGTTATGTTTACCAATCATATACAACAAATCGCTTCCGCCGTGGGGTTCAGTTGATCGATCAAAGTCATCCGATAACTCGGTTAAGGTCATCCTGTCGATGGTCAATCGATCGATTTGATTGTGTCGACCGATCACTTGTCTATCACTTCTCGCTCTTCGGCACAAAACTTCAATCACCTGAAACTCCATTAATGTTGCTTGATATATTCAAATTCATGCTTATATTTTTGTTGTATACATTATCTATTTATTTCTGAACAAATTTTAAAACTAGGTACTTTGTTAATATAAATTATGATTTTTAAATTTAAAAATATAAATTTATATATGGTAATTTGCCCGAAATATGGGCGAATGCACATTCACTAGGCACATTTCATTTTTTTTTCTTCGTCTACATATATCAGTTGTTTTTTTTTTTATATTATTAATTTTTTCACGTTGTAACGCTCCAAGGTGTTACGTTTTTTTTTTTTAATTTTTTATTTCCATAGACTACATAAATAACTTATTCTTACATGAATACCACCCTATTCTTATTTTTCGTTTCATTTTGCATTGTCCAATGTTTCTTATATATATATATATAGATTATCGTTATTTTCACTAAAAAAAATTTAAGCACACTTTTTCATGTTAAAATTAACTGATATAATTTAAAAATTAAATTTTAAATGTCAGCTGTGCATATACATAGGAACCAAGTGATTTAAAAAAGCCTGAATCTTATCACTTCATGCAGACTAGTTTAGTGGTGATAACTTGCCTTTTTCAATGGTGTCCCATCAATAAGCGCGATTATCGCAGCAACATAGCGACAATAAAAATGTGCTCCAGGAACATCGAAACTCCCACTCTCTCTCTCTCTCTCAGGCAAAAATGGAGTCAAAAAAATGGGCGAAGACGATGGCTGCATGCTTCCCGGCGGCGACTGTTGAGGAGGCATGGGCTATCGCCGGTGATTTCTGCGGGGTGCACAAATGGCTACCGTTGGACACGTGTTACAAGTTAGAGGGCGAGGAGAACAAACCCGGCTGCGTCAGGTTCTGCAGTGAGGGGCGCAACTGGGCCAAGGAGCGGCTCGTTTCGTTCGACCCGGTCGACCGCTGCTACTCCTACGTGGTTACGGAGAGCAACATGGGCTTTGGTGACTACTTGGCCACCATTAAGGTGGTTCCGGCCGGCGAGCAAGGGTGCAAGATCGAGTGGTCGTTTGAGGCGGACCCGGTCGAGGGGTGGACCGAGGACGGTTTCGTCTCGTTCATGCAGACGGCTTTTGAAACGTTGGGGAACGCAATCCACGCTAAGGAAAACTAACTCATTTGCTTTTACTATTAAAAAAAATTCTATTTTCATTATGTGTTTTGTGTTACAAACTGGGAAAACTCAAGTATTGATATTCTCATGAATTATGGTGATGTGATTTTGGCGATTGTTGATACCATAGTGTTACATCTTAAGAGGATTCTTAACATGCAGATTTGAGTTATTTCGATTCTCCTTCAAAAGAGGATTATTTTGAAAAAGTAGGTGGAGAGATCTGTTCAGCTTTCAGGTGGGACGATTTGATTTGATTTAAACTAGGGCTGCAAATTCTTTTGCGATTCTTGTCAAGAGATTGCTGTCTGATTCAAAGTTAATCGAAATCCACGTCATTCGAGCCAGAGACGTGACGAATCTCTGCACCAAATTATTTTTTATATATTATCTATTAAAATATAAATTAGTACTTCATGCTGTTAAATCATTACTTTCAGATCTTTTAATTCTCAATTATCCTCAATTTTTCCTGTGAAATTCATTTTTTGTCAATTATTTAAAACCTCAAATATGAAAAGGGATTATAGGTTAAATGATTTATAATTTAGTGTTATGTTAATGCTTCGAAATTATTTATAAAGTTTAAACTCAGAGCTTCAGCTTTTGCTTTTGTGTTTATGTTTGTTTAGTTCATTATTATTTTGACTGGTTGTTTAAATAATGTTTGTTTCATATGATAACAATTAAGTCTTTATGACTAGGTTTACGAGTTGTATTATCGAGCGACTTAATTTAAGTGCAATTATTTTTCTTTGGAGCAAATTATAATTAATGCTATCATACTATTTATTTTCTAATAAAATGAACTTATCAAACAAAGACATTTGTAGTGTATATATAAGAATATGTCAGAACCAATCTGAAGGCAAATGAATGGCTCACAAAGAAGATACGACCAAACGAAAAAAGCCTTTAACGATCATCTTTGGGCTGAATTTTGGCAAAGAAACATCTTGTTCGAATGATCGACAGAAGGCGCAGGAGAAGCTCCCCTAATGAGGTAATCAACTTTTAGGACGATCGACGAGGAACACTTTTTCGGATTAGATATTGATTGAGTCAAGACTTACCAGACGATTGACAACCCTCATCGATCGAATCAGTCGTCGATCATATTATATGCAAATAATTTTGCAATTACCGAATATGTTTTTTTTGTAACGTTAGAACCTAATCCTGTAAATAGGGACCCATGTCATGAATAAGGACACACTCTTTTATTATTATCTATTGTTTTAACTCTCTCTCTCTCCATCCTTACCCCTCTATCACTCGCTATTCTTTTGGCATGTTTTTTTGACTGTTTTGGATTCAATATACTTTAAGGTGTGGTGACTGTGAGAATATGATGTCAATAAAAAGAGGAGCCAAGTTTAACAATAAAGAGAGCCAAGTCAGAGGAGCGTGTTAACCTCAATTTTGCAGATGTCTTTCCTTTCTCTTAGTGCTTAAGATTTAACCATAAGACTTTTTTTTTACTATCCTAGAAAACTAGAGATGAAAACCACCTACATAGAAATTCAAACTACTTCCTTACCCTCTCTGGGACTCACATGAATGATCTTGAACCTTTGACACTTGGAATGTTGAGACCAACATGTGAGGATTCAAGCATAAGTCCCACAGAACTGAACTTAGGGCAACCCTAGATGGCTAGGGTTTGGTCTTCCACACACTCAAGCACAACAAAATTCTCCACTTTTCCTAATACCTTGAAATTACACCAATTGTACTTATTTCCTTTGCTCTTTAGAAAACTCAAGTGGGTGGTCCCCAAGCTCTTAGCCCTTTGGCTAGGGTGGCTTGGAACCACACATGAAGGGTCCAAAATGAGTTGTCCCTTATTCTCATGACTTAAATAAGGTAACATTATGATTGGCATCTTCAATGAATTTCAATCCCACCTAAACACCCAATTTTGGCAATTTAGCCCCAAACTTCTCAAAAATTACCAAGTTCCCGTAAAACCCTAAAAGGTTCAAAAGTAGCCAAAATCTTCAATATTTCTTCAAAGATCATGTCAAACCATTTTAAAATATCCAAATTTACCAAAGCACCACAATTTCCCCAAAATACCCCTAAATTTGCCAAAATTACCAAAATACCCATCAAGTCCAAAAAATTTTCAAAAACTCCCAAATCATTCCAAACCTCCCCTAAACTATTTCCAACCACCCAATGGACCCAATATAACCAAATTGACTAGTTTTGACCAAATTCCCAATTTTGCCTCTAAAAGCCCAAATTCCTCAAATTCATCCAAATTTCCACCAAATTCAATTCAATTTCACCTAATTTTAAATCTAAATCATTTATCAACTTGTCCAATCCCAACTTACACCAATATGATGCCCAATTTGACTAACTTCAAAACCCTAATTTAAATTTTGGGCCAAAATCATCAAGTTGACCATACCTTTATATTTCATCAAATTGGGCTCCATAACTAATTTAATTCTCTCAATTTTAAATTCCAAACTCTTCATAACATCCCAGTTGATCAATTTGAACCCTCATTTGGTCTTGATACAAACCCTAGCCTAACCAAAATCCAAGCCCAAATCATTTACGTCAAAATTGACCCAACTTCAAAATTCCATTAAATCAAGCTTTGCAATCAATTCAATTCCCCCAATTTCACTTCCTATGTTCTTCATGGCATCTGGATCAATTGAACCCTTCAAATATTTTTTAAATTAAGCCCAAGTTAAATTTTTGTCCAAACCCTAATTCTAAGCCTAAGCTCCAAATTAACCTAAATATTTTGTGTTAACCAAGCCTAATCATCTCTGCCATTCTTAAGGCCCTTGGGATGCTAATCAAATCATTCATGAATCAAATCTTGAGCCTTGGACCAAGGGTTCCCTAAATCAAGGATATTTTCCCCCATTTTGGCAAGCTCTCTATCCCATGCCATCAGCCATCAAATTTCCAAACTAATCACAATTAAAACTTCTTTGACCTTTCTTGAACTAGCTAGCCACCTCCCCTAGCTTGACCGGCTGGCATAGTCATCGGAAAACCCAAAATCAAGAAGGTCATGCTTCGCTCAAACCCAAATTCTCACCCATCCAATTTGTCTGACTCCCATTAGCTAATTGTGCCGCTCAGCCCTCCACCTAAGAAACCTTCTCCACCACCTAGCTTGGAAAATTAAGCCCTAATTCCTCCTCTATTTAAACTACCTCTCTCACTACCATAAAGAGAGTGTTGTCAATTGTGTAGGGAGATCCTTCCAAATTACTCTAAAAGCTTTCCCAGACCATCCTATGTTCATCACAATTAAATTCCAACCACTCCCTCTATTGTCTAACCCTAATTTCAAGCTTGAAATACAGAGCCTTTTTTGTCATTCCACCAAACTCCATAAAACCCCAAGTTGATCATCCTAAAAGCTACCCCACACCAAACAAGGAAGTTCCCTATCGAAGCCCCTTCATTTCAAGCATTCTAACCCACTTTAAGACCAAACCCAAATCACCCTCTGATCAAACTCTAGTGTGGACTCAACATCAGCTCAAATTGGTGCTTGGAGGAGCTTTGTAAGGTCACAACTAATGTCTGCAACCAACCCAATCGAGACCACAGCTCTTGGGCAATTGTATAGCTCAGTAACCCTAAAATCGTGCTCGGTTTCACCAATTGTGATGTGAACATGTTTTTCATATGCATTTAACCGTATGGATGTGTTCTTCTCGATTAGACGAAGCTATAGTATCAAACTCCATATGATTTTGTTGAGTATCAAGCGAGATCTTAGGTTTAAAAAATGAGCGGTTCTCGGGTTAGATCAGTTGGGGACGGTGAATAGATGTCATTCATTTGCGTGTTCATCCATCGGACGACGAAGGAGTCAGAGGAGGAAACACAACATAAAGCACTGTCGAGTCATCTCTAACACAGAAGGCGATGAAGAATGGAAGCTTTTCGCGTGGAGTATCGGTGCTGCCAATAATCGAGTCAGCCCCGCTTGGATAAGTAGGAAATTAGCTATTTAAATGATTTATTTAAATCAGAAACTTTGAAAAGTCATAACTTGGTGTAGAAAGTCATAAAAATAAAATAAAAATACCCTTGCGCTCAGTGAACAGAGAAGAATCATGTGTGCTAAAAATAAAAATTATTTAATTTATATTTAATTTTAATTTAATTATATACCCTAATCATTCATTAAATCTTAACTAATCAAATATTAATCACAAAAAAAGAGATTTTGAGGGTTTGTTCTCTTTGTGGTTGGGAGTGTTCCCTGATTTTTTCCAAAGTTAGAGAGCACCCCTAACATGGTAAACCCTAAATTCCAAGGTTAAATAACTTCTTTTGCTTAAAATAATTATATAAATAAGAAAATTATGAGGTTTTTTTTGGTATGTCCATTGTGGTCAAAGGGACATACAAAAATAAAGCCCAAGTTTAAATATTTTTAAAACAAAATTTCTTAATTTAAGTCATTAAAGCCCATAAAAAATTAAATAAATAATGTATATTTCAAAAAATCATAAAAATTGATCATCACTGAAGATATTAAACATATTAAGCATCTGTAAAAATTCGGATCCATTTTAAATGGATTTAACCACTAAAGTATATCTTCTTAAGAAAAAATAGATTTTGGCACTAAAATAATTATAATGATTAAAATATAATAAAAAAATAATTAAAAGTGGTTTGGAGTGCTCCTTGTGACCAGAGACATGTAACAAAAAATAAAATTGACCTTAAAATAAATACTTCAAGTTTGGACTATATTTGAATTTAAAAATAATTAAAAATTTAAAAAGTCACAAAAATATAAAAATACCCCAAAATGTTACTATTTTTTCTCTGACCACTTAGAGCAATTAGAATATTTTTCTTAATTTTATAAATAAAATTATGTATTTTTAAATGCCTAAAAATGTATTTTCTTATTTTTTACTAAAATAATTATAAAAAATTAAAATAAATATAAAAAAATAGAAAATAAATTTCTCTAAGTTTCTTGAAGTCAGAGAGATCAATAAAAAGTAGAAAATTGATTTTTTAAATAAAATAAATTTGCCATTTAATTAACTATCAAAATAAATAGATAATTATAAATTTTTAAAAATAATTCAAAAATTCATGAAACTCAACCCAAGTGGTCCTAAGACCTAGGTGAACCTCCAATAATTTTCCTAAGGACAAAAACTTTACTTTGAATGATTAAAAGAATTAACCTTAGATATTCCTATTTTTGGAGAAAAATAATTATATAAATAAAAATAAAAATAAAAAACATGATCTCTTTTCTGGTACCTCAATTAACCCATGAGATATAGGTCAACATGTTTTCAAGCCCATGT